GAACAATTGCTTTTTCGAAAATGCGCTGGCGTTCGTTTATTTTCATAGATATAAAAAAAATAGCTTAGTAACTTTTTCTCAGCTTTCTGATGGTACTAAACTAAAATTTTTATAACTTGTGGGTTGCGAGTAAATCACATCAAGTTTATTATTTCTTATGGAAGCCATATTGGATTTCTACGTCACTCGATAGAAGAAAAAATTTCAAAACCAGTGACTTCATGGCAAAAATTCACCGCTGATTGTCACAAGAAATACTAAGTGTTTAGTATCACTGGTTTTGTAATTTTTTTCTCTATCGAGTGACGTATAAATACAAAATGGCTTCCATAAGAAATAATAGAGCACACGTAATAAAAATTTTAACACCACCACAGAGCTCAGAAAAAAATACTAAGAGTTTGTTAAAACTATCTTTTGATATCTATATAAATAAAGGAACGCCAGCGCATTTTCAAAAAAAAACATTTTTCGGGTTTTTGCAATAACTTCGTTAAATTGTAGAGCCACAAGAAACTTTGAATGGGAAGATTAATCAGCACACAATTCTTTGTCCATTTAAGCGACTTTGTATTTGTTATTTCAATTAAAAAAAACTCACCCTGTATAGTGAGACAGGATTTTGTATACGTACGATTTGTCTATTCGTAGTTAGTTAGGGTGGAATTTTCCACAGTTGTATGTATGATTTTATATTTTAACAACTCGCAGGCAGATTGTTTTTAAATTTAATTATGATTCTTGTTATCGGCTTGTGCAACGGGTTGAGGGTTCTGTTTGTCTTATGTGTGTTATGACGTAAAATATCTGTTGAATTCGAGGTTGAATTTGTTCTTATATTGCCATAATCTTTATTAATTAGTAATTGATGATCATTTTTTTAAAGATAGCATAATTGGTTTTCTAGCCCAAATTAAAAGGGGTAAAACCTCATGATTGCTACTAAACCGCTTTCAGAACTGACAGGGCATGCGAATAAAAATTGTTCCCTGTGATTCGATAGAAAGCGATTTAGTGAATTTCGCATGAATGCTTTTTCACAGACCCAACCCCTCTGCTGGAACTTCAAATGGTGAAATGATCAAGCTGAAATGAAAGACGGTCAACAGGCCATAAAATAGAAGCAGGTCATTGGGAAATGAGCTATGATTCAAGATCAGATCCCTTAGGATTAAAGAAGTATTTCTTCGAATTTGTATTTCGTTCAGCAAAGAAAAATATACGTGTACCGCTTCATAGCGAACATGAACGAAAATATGTCTAGCGATAACAATTGATAATACAAAGCGCATTGCGGAAAGCGGGTGCGGTTGCCATGATCTCTTCGGACCTGAAAGTTTCGTTCCGTTTTGTAAAAACTCGAGCACGTGACCAAAACGCAGGTTTGCGATTCGTTTAAAAGGGGACGCGAGGCGAGTTTGTTTCGTTCAGAAAATAAGTCCCTTTTCCATTTTTCCACCGAGCGAGATTTAAATAGGGAGAGAAGTGGGAGAACGGTAATTCTTAGCTAGTTTTCGAGAGTGATAATGTACACTGTTTGTTCGTAAATTTATTTATCGTTAAAAATTCATTCAAGTAGATTTTCACGAACCACCATTTTAAGTGCGCTGAAATCAAATTTTTAGCGAAGTTATAAAAGCAAGCGGGTACCATTTCGTGCACGAGACACTTTATTTCGCTTATGTGTGAATGTTTGCAGTCGAAATTCAAGAACAAAATCGTACAATTATTTGAGTGAAATGTATCAGACTAATAGTGAAGAATTGACATTTCCATCCGTACTATTCATATGCTATTAATTGCATCTTATTAGGCATGTCTAAACCGTTCATCCGATTTCAATGAAACTTCGCGGAATGGTTGGCCGTATGCCCGCGAAAGTTTCTAAGTTAGTAACACACTTTCCTACATTCCCACGGGTACGGGAACACGATTTTGTTTTACAGTCTAAAAGAGACGGCAACGGCATTTAGAACATAGCTTTCTTTGAAGGCGTTAAGTTGTACCCCGAAAGAATTTCCCAACTTTCGGGTTCTATACCCATAAATTCTCATAATGTGTGATGAGCGATAGAAACTCGATCGTAGAAATGTGCAAATTTATCAGTCATTCGTTAATTATATTGAGTTCAAATTCACCATAGGGGTACTTCAAGGAAATTTCTTTTCATTTAACGTTCATTAATCGAATTGAATACATGATCATTTGCACGTAGCCTTTATAATTCACGGAACTTGCTGGTGGCCTGACTGCCTCCAAATAAATGCATCTCCCATCAAAGGTATACAGCCGCTAGGTCCGTTATTTAAGGACATGACAATTAAAATTTAAGCTGTCTTTCATTCCTTTTATTTTTACCTAAAATCGAGGAGAAAATCACTGTAGAATTTTGGTGTACACTACTAGTGTTGTGCAGAATTTTTTAGAATTTCCTAGATTTTTATAGAATCTTATATTTTAAATTTTTTTTAGTAATTCCTAGTATTTTTTAAGAATTTTTTAGAATTTTCTAGAATTTTTTAGAACTTTTCTAGAAATTTTTCCGAAACGCACACAATGTATACAACTTTTAAAATTTTTAGAATGTTCAAAATTAAGAATATTTTAGAATTTTAGTGTACACAAAATTTAAAGTGGTTTACCGTGTACACTACTCTAGCTTTTTGTAGATTTTTTTAAATTTTTTAGAATTCTATTTTCTGAAATTTTTTAGAACTTTTCTTGAATTCTTTTTCAGACGCATATGCACACACTATTATATTATTTTTTGAGAATTTTCTAGAATTTTTTAGAATGTTTTAAAATCTCTTTTAGAATTTTACCATACACAAAATTTGAAGTGGTTTACCCATGGCCTAAAATGAAGTTTTCCGGCCAACGCTCATTACTGTTAATTAAAATTGGAAATTATGCGACCGTCAAGTATTTGTTTGTCCAAACATCCGAGCAGTTAAAGTGAACAAAACTTGGAGTATTTCAGAGAAATTTGTGCTGGTTTAGGGTAGTTGTAAAAAGTTTAGTGCAGCTATCAAGGAGGCCCATTAAGCCTGAATTGTTGGTTCTGTAAACTGCAGGCTATTTTAACCCCAAATACCAGTTCGTGTTTTCGTAACCAATCAGTCCTGAGTACTGCCACTTATCCATGCGTTCGTAGTAGACCGAAAGTTCAGGGCTCGGTCGACGAAAAAGAAGTGCAAATTACCTCACCACATCCAACTGATGAGCAATTGAGGCGCGCACCTTTCGCACCAGATAATTAAAAATAGTAAGTAGCATTTATTCACACTAGATCATATTGAACGTTTTTTTTAGCTTAGCCACTAAGTGAATTTATCTCGGAATTTATAATTGAATATTGTTCAATTATGGACCCGAGTGTCTGTCGAACAATAAATTCCATTATTATTATTATTGAATACACTACAAAATTACTTAGTAGGTAAAGAAAAAAAATAAACAAACAAAAAATCTGTTTCGCTAATTTCAATTTAAGATATACCTGGGAAATAGGTGCGAGAACGCCCCCGATAACAATTCGAAAATAATATGTGGACATATACTGTGCGATCAAAAATGAGTTGCTGTCGAGTCACCTTTGAAACTTTTGTTTACATGGGAAATCGTACTTAACTTGAACTTCCAAAGGCGACTCGACAGCAACTCATTTTTGATCGCCCGTTATTATGATAGTGTTGAACAAAACCAGTTTGTGCCATACCGCATGCATGGTACCTATTTTGCAAGAAATTCTAAATCTTTATCGGGTGCAGAATATTAGTTAAATTAAAAAATTTAAGGGGTGACGTTACACAATATAGATACACGAACTTATTCTCAACGCTAGTTATACAATTCATTATAAAAAAAAGAATAGACTTGTTTGGTGCACTTCTTTGAAAAGAGGATTATATACCGTAAAAAATTTGAAATTTATGTACCGGGCGATCAAAAAAGGATTGACAATCGAGTCGCCTTTGGAAGTTAAATATGATTTCTCAGGTAAACAAAAATTCCAAAGGTGACTCGACAGCAAGTCTTTTTCGATCGCATAGTATTGGAACATCAAGTTATCAGTTGATAGGTACCCCAAATTTTATTAAAACCGGCCCCACCGATTTTGAGATTTTAGCTTTTAAACTCAGAGAACTACTCCCACAGTAATTTTTGTGTCAAACAATAAAATATAAATAAACCGCGTGACGCTTTGTATATAATGCATACATTCATTTGATTACCGTTTATTGAATGGTAACTAGAACCGCTAAACGCCCACCTTCTTGTACCACAGACAGATAACCATTATTCAAATTTATTACTAGCATTTATTTGCTAAACTGGAACAAAATGTCAAAGTAACCGTTCCTCGATTTCAGCACAATGAAGTATACACCAACAGTAGGTATTTATCGTGGTATTTACTGTAAATAGTACAATACAAACCGGTTGAAGTATTCTCCGCAAAAGTTTCAAATCTCTGCAACAGACGGACGGACCGACGCAAAAATCTGTTCCAGGCGAATGTGGTACAAGTAACGATAACAAATTCCCATTCTCATATCAAAAAATTTACATTGAACATAATCAACAAAACTAATCAAAAACGCTCACCTGCTGGTGTTTTTTTGGTAGTCAAAACACTAGAATTGAAATGGTCCCCAATATCACAATTCCAGTGCACACGTAAAAAGCACTAACAGGAGAATATCTTTCCCGAGAACTTGCTCTCAGACGGTGCACCGACGAGTTACTATACTCCACAACAACACAATTACATTCTACACGAAGTCGTGAAAGTATGGTGGTGGTAGTGCCCGCTATTCTTCCATCTCTATTAAACGTTTGAGCAACTGCATTTCATTAGACGATTAGGGCACCCCCGCAATCGTAAAACAAACCACTCGATTAAAGATATCGTAAAGTCATTGTTGCGACACAATTTTACGGTAGGCTTTAGAAATCAATCAATCAATCAAACCCTTATTGGTTCACGTTTTGCACGCCACTGAGACTTATTCGACAAAGACTTGCGCTTCACGTGGAAATTCTCTATTGTTCGCGTTGAAAAACGCACGTGTTCGCGAATGTGACAAATTTTATTTATTTATTTAAATCTGACTTGTAAATCGCTAATTAAAACAAAGTGCTCGGTGTTAAACAGGTAAATATTAATTAACACGTTTCCACGCTACACGTAGAAAAAAAAAGTTAGAATCGCTAATAATTTACAACTTTTTTTTGCCTCTGTTCTATTTGTATAATTTATGTGTAATCGATGACTTCCGTTTAATAATTTGTTATAAATAATTTGTTGTATGTGTCATTCTAGACGCCGTATTGTTAGGCAAAACACTGTACACTTATTTTTCTGTTAATAGTTCCATTGACTTTAGTTCTAATGAGCCAAGGCGTTTAGGTTATGTTTGTGCAACATGAGAAATTTCTGTTTATGAATGAAAAATGCATAGGTAAAGGGTGTAGATGAGGAGAATTGTAATAAAGCACAAATTTGCAGATTTTTAAACATTATCAAGCATTACAGTTACTGCAATAGGATTCAAACATGTAGTAGGTACGATGAGCATTTCTTTAATTTACATTTTTAATTTCAAACCGTTGCTAGGGACATTGTAAGGTTTTCTCATTTGATTCGCGTTTGAGTAAAAATTTTCGAGATGCTAACGACAGAAGGAAACGTGCATAAAAACTTGTAGGTAATAACTAATAAGCAATCATGTATCATGCTCGGGTGGATTAATGATACTGGTAGATTCTACTGTAATTACAATTGTTTCCAAACAACTCGGGTTGAATTGTTGTAAAGCCCCCGTTTGCAAATGTTTAGGGGTGCGGAGAGGTAGGTATTCATGCTGTTATTGTTCCCTCGACTTCCTTTATCAATTGATGTTTTTCCACTGGACACTTAAAATAGACACACTGCATTTGAGCTTCAGTCACTACTTTGGCTTACCAGCAGGGTTGCTAGATGTCTGGCATTCAACCGGAGTTTCAGGTTTTACATCAACATCGTGCTCTCCGGCCATTGAGGGGGGGGGGGTCGCAATGCAGATTTATGTTTCTGATGCAGACGACCATACGCAATCTGGCAACCCTGCTTACCAGTTAGGTACCACATTCTTCGATTACCTTCCTCATTGATTATTTTCCCAATATACAGGATGTCTAAAATTAGCATGGTATCTGACAAGGTGCTCCATAAATGTATCAGACACAACTTTCTTTGGAACAATATTTCATTACAATTACAGTCATTCTACGTTCTACAAATATATTGTAGGTACACTTGTTGTTAAGCATCATGTATATAAAAAACTTTATCGTTTTTGAAAAAATTCAGTTTACACATTTTCAAAATTGCCTCCACATTTCCAAAATATCCACTAGGTGCTTCCAAAACATTTGAGGTCAAATCATATGTGAAAATGTTTTATACCTACTTTTTTGTAATCGTCAACACTTCCTAAGCTTTTTCAACATTAAAAAAATCAAAATGTTTGACCTATTTCCTATTTCCAACATTTCCAAAAATTCGACATTTTAGGATTTTGAATTTTTGATCTTTGATACCCCTCGCGATTGAACCCCGTCTTCCTTTTAATCCGCCAGCTTTCGGACAGATGTCTTTTTAGATCGTCAATTTGGAATGATTAGGTACATCACTTTCGGATGTACTCGTGCCAACCGCCCTTTTGTCTGAATAAATGCAATCAAGCATACGAACCAATTACCTAATACCATAGTAGGTATACTAATCGAAAACCTTCATTGAATTCAAAATGGCCTCCAGATTCCATGAAAAACACAAAAGAAAATAATTCTATTTCCACTATAAACACAATATGATCTCTGATTGCAGTAAGGTTGGCGTACAGATAAAATCAAAAACTTTAAGAGGGGGTCAGTGTGGCGGAATTCACAAGGCATAGTGTGATATTATTACTCGTATAGATCTAGGCGGGTTGAAATAAATATTACACTCCCTGTTGGTGTCTGTGATGTACAACAAAATAAATGCGTTGCGTCGTAAATGTTGTCTATGCCGTTCGTAGCGCAATACGAAATAATGCACTTGAAATTCGGTTCGTTCTGAGAAATACAAAGTATTATTTTAGGAATAAAATGGTTCAGATTATAAACGGACGAAATATTGCAGATGAAATTCAAAATACGCTTCGCTGCGACATAAACGCGTGGGTGAAGACCAGCGGCCGGAAACCTTCTCTGGTTGCCGTCCTGGTCGGAGACGACCCCGCGAGTATAAAATATGTCGAAAAGAAAATGGAAGCAGCGGCATATGTCGGTACGTGCGAATTGAGGCGGTGCTGTAGAATTTGGCAACGTTGCACTAGTTTACCAGCCAGGATCATATAATTCTTGTATAGGTAAATTCGAATATTGTTCATACATGAAAATTCTATCAAGAAATCCGTTTGCAGCGTTGCCAATTTTTCATCAGCACGGCACGGCTTCTAATTAAGTTAGTGGTATTTATTTCTAGGAATTGATAGTAAGATAGAGAAATTGCCAGACACGATTTCCGAAGTAGAGCTAATCTCGAAAATCCAACAATTGAACGGCGATGTGTCCGTCGACGGGATTTTGGTACAGCTTCCCGTACCTCCCCAGATCTCCGAGCGTAACGTGTGCAACGCTGTCGATCCTATTAAGGATGTAGACGGATTTCACTATAGTAACGCGGGAAAGCTGTGCCTGAATATGGAAAGTTTCGTCCCTTGCACAGTTTTGGCTGTAATCGAGGTGTTGAAACGGTACCTATTGATATAATATAAATGAGATAGTTAACGATTATGTCTAGAGCAGGGGTTGAAACGTTCGCAAAAAACGTCGTCGTCGTCGGTAGATCCAAGCATATTGGTTTGCCGCTTTCTGTCATTTTAAATTCCGATGCCCGAAATGAATTGCCAGGTTTGGAAGCGACCGTTACAGTGTGCCATAGAAACACGCCTCCAGAACAGCTTTGCATCTTCACTAAACTAGCAGATATCATCATTAGTGCAACTGGTACTTTCTTGTCTTAGTTTCAATAGTGTAATTCCCGTAATTTTAGGAGTCGTTCATCTTATTAAAGAAGACATGGTGAAACCTGGTGCGTGCGTTATCGATGTGGGCATGACCAGAATAACAACGGCAGAGGGCAAAGTCAGACTGGTGGGCGATGTTGATTTTGACAGTAAGTCTTTCACAAACACGCGAACAATTAATTGAACACGCTTAAACAGATGTTAAGAATGTTGCCGAATGCATTACTCCAGTCCCAGGCGGTGTGGGTCCTGTAACTGTTGCTATGTTAATGAAAAATACATTTAAAGCCGCAAAGATGCATGTTAGTTAATGCTGACTTGGACATCGGAACGTGTAACTAATTCAACTGGTGCTTTATCGTATTATGCCAGTATTACTAATAATTTAAATTCAAAATTTAAAACTTTTAAGTATTATTTTGTAAAACAAAAATTATACTACCAACTGTACCTTGTTTTTTCTTTTACTCCATTGCTTACGCATTATCCGCCATTTAAAATAAAACAACATACTCCCATGTAGTCAGGTTCGACGCCAAAATGATTGTCGAGCCCCACGTTGGGCGCCCAAAATCGAGCAGTGCAAGACATGCGATTTAGTGCACTTTAATTTTGCATCACATCTACAATATACAAAAATTAACAATCCGAGGAAGTAACTCGTTTGAGTTTGAATAATTTAAATCTGAGGTTAATCTAATACAACTTTGATAACTATGCTCCCAACCCAAGTAGTTAGCTCAAATAGATTTAAAAGGAACTCCGCTGCTTTCTCATTTGTGAAAAATAACATTCCGAAGTCTGTGACAAATACATGAAATACATTGTTAATTATCCAGACCTCCAGTGCAGAAGGTATCTAAGGTCCTGGATAGGGTAACCTTAAGAAAAATGAAAATGAAAAAAAACGGTTGTAAAATGCATTGTATTTAAATGTATTTCCAGCGGTGTCTCTATATACGCCAACGGTACTTGTTTGAAGTTTTGAAATCGGGCGTCTCAACTTTTGAAACTCTTGAACCATTTGACTCTTTTTTTAATATCATCTATTGCCTATATGTATCAAAAAGAATTTTAATAGGCCTTTTAGATTAAAATATACAGGGTACTCTATTTTTTAAAAAAATGTGCCAAATTGTTAAGAGAACAGCTTCCTATAGCTCAAACTTTTGTAAGTGTCTTCAAGAAATGGTAAGTCTAGGGAAAGAACGTTCACCCCCAGGTTCTACGCTAACTTCACACTACAAGAACACGGAAATAAAGTCAACCCGGCAACGTTTAAAAATTGCCACCCGAATGACTGTTCTCCTTAAGGTGGGTTCATAGCTCTCCGTTCATCCGTTGCGTCGGTCTGTCAAACGGATAATGCATTTTATTAAGGTTCATAGCAATCCGTCCACATTGTACATTTGCAACGTATAACCATAACCTAAATTTTATTTTGTACTTACTGTGCCCTCCGTGATTTTCAGTATGTAAAAATGGTACGAAAGTAAGAGCACATTGCTATCTGATTATTACCGTGAAGAACGAATAGGCGAACACTGTTAACGTACCAAACATAACCTCACTCTTGTTAAAAACGGAACAACGGAAACGTAAATGTTCAACTTCAACCAACTTTTCCGTCGTAAACGGACGATGTACGATTTAAAAATTTGCTGTCTTCTGATTGGCTAACGGACAAACGGAAACGTAAGAACGGAGAGCTATGAACCCACCTTTAGACCATATAGTACACTGTTCTCTCCAAAACTAAACAAGATCCCGCTTAAATTTGAAAAGTGGCACGTGATCAAACATCTAAGGCAGCGCTCCCTTACGTTAGTTGTAGACAACGCCATGACCTGAAGTACACTTGGGAAGGAACGTAAAATAAAACATCGTAATTATTATGATTGTGAAAACCCCGAAACTTAGTTGATGTACGTTAATGTAAGCAAAGCCAGAAGGGTGTCGTATTCTCGCAAAAGTAACTGCCAAGGGTAGAAAGAGTACGACAAAGAAACACCTTGCAGTTGGATTAAAACAGTCCAAAAGTTAATTAACAAAATATTTTGTAAAAGTTTTATTTTAGGTTTAAGTAGTAGTTAACAATGATAGTAAATGCATATACACAATGTTGGTTACACTCAAGGTTAAAACCAAGTTTTTGGGAACAATGGGTGAGGTAACAGCAGGTACCTAAATTCTGAGAAAGCGTTATAAGAGTACAGGATGTGACTCATCTTTGGTGCAATAAAGTCCTTTTGTTAAAATCAAGATGGAAAATTACATAGTCTTGTAGGCAAATTTAACCAAAAACAAAATATGTGGAAATTACGAATCGTAACTCATTTATCGCACATAGATTCTAAACTGAAGAGTTTTGATTAGCGTAATCTCGCCCCCGCAAGATAGGTAGCGTCGCCCCTCGTTCGGGGTTTCGAACCTACAGTTGAAAGCCGAAGACAATCATAGAATTAGGTGTCGTAGTTCAATTTTGACTACAGTTTTTACCACCCCCGTGACTGCTTCATTCACGGAGAAAATGTTAGTTACAAACAACAAGTCAGTACATCAAACGAATCTGTAATTTCCACATATTAAAATAAAATGATCAAAACTTATATGAATGTTACTTCAGGGACAAGACCAAGTAATCAACATCAATAAACAAAAATTAAACAAGCATTACACCAAAAACGTAAACAATTACAAACAATAGCATAGCGGTATTTAACATGTCATTTTGCATTGCGGTTAAATCAAGTAAATTTCAAAATCAAAGATTGAAACGCACAAAAAATATAAAATGCGGCATACAAAACACAAATACCATATAAAGAAATGCAAAAATTACTACCTGCATTAAATAACACAAAATAACAACAAATTTATGGGGCGACGCGTTCACGACCGCCATTCACAACAAGATGCTCAACGTAACCTACATTCGAGCTTTCTAGGTCGCGCAGGCAGCTTTTCCCCCACCTAGAAATTGCATAGTTGCCAACTCTCACAAATGTATCGTAGTAAGTTGTATATACAGGGTGGAACCTTTCACAACTAAAAAATTAAGCAGCCCTACACTTGATCCTTAAGGGACAGTTATATGAAAATGTGCATTGCGACATTAAAGGAGAAAAACGCAAGCTACACCACTGCATATTTACTTGGCGCTGATCTAACAATTAAAATTGCAAATAGACAAAGGTAGCGCGTAAAAGAGAAATATGGCATGGTTTTCCCTTCAAGATGACTGCGGAGGCGGGCTTTTTGTCGACTTAACTACTAAGGTAGCAATGGTGTACGTGCGGTTGCTTACGAAGCCAGGTAATTCTTTCATTTAAATTTATGTATGTAATTGCCGTGGTATTATGCTGTTAATTTAATAACGGGCGAAGAAAAAGAAAAATGAGTTGCTGTCTAGTGACCTTGGAAGTTCAAGTTAAGTACGATTTCCCATGTAAACAATAATTCCAAAGATGACCCGACAGCAACTCATTTTTGATCGCATAGTAGATACCTACTTAAATTTTAATTAGAAGGGTCTTAGTTTAAAATTGCGCAATAATTGTGTACGTAATGAGTTCATTTAGTATAAAGGGCCGTAACTTAATTAATTGTCTATTTTGACATCAATGGGAAGGTTGAAGATCACTAATCAGTACAAGGTGTTAATGTTAATATTAATACAATTTAGAGCATATTGCAGTTGTCGATGTTTAGTAGATAGCGTGTAATTTTCCATAGGTGTAAGTACCTTTCATTTGAGACTAATATACAGGGTTGGTTTTTAGATTATTTAGAGGGTATCTGGGAGTGTATACGTAGTGAAATATATAGGTAGGTTATATTTTAACAACACAACTTGTAAGTTAACTTTTGAAATTCAATTAGGATGTTTGTTGTCGGCTTGTGTGATGAGTCTCGTTTCTTTGATCGAATTTCTTCTTGTATTGCCATTATCTGTTACTTGAGAGCCTAGAACAAGAGCGACAATAAATAATATTTTTGAAGTTTATATTCTCGGCACCTTAAAGGGAATATCCAAAAAGAAAAGAATGTATAAAAATTATTTATTATTCTGTTACTAATTACAATAAATCATCCTCATTTCTCCACGAAGTTTCAACAACGTCAGTACGATATCTTTGCATAATAGTGCAGTCCTCCCATTTCATTTTTGTGCCACTCTTAAACATTTCGGCGCCGGCATGAGCAATCATCAATCCGTTATCAATGCAATACCTTTCATCTGTTGCGAATACCTTCGCACCACGTTCTTCGCACATAATCTTCATCATCTCTTGCAGCCGTTCGTTGCACCCCACGCCTCCCACGAGTAGCATTTCATCGGAATTGCAATGGGCTAATGCTCGCTCAGACGTTTCAACTAACATTGCAAATACGTGCTCCTGCAGAGAAAAACAGAGGTCCTCTTTTGTGTAACCTTCTGACATTAACATATTGGCACGTTCTTCCATGTATGTCAATATCCCGGAGAAGCTCACGTCCATTCCTTTAACACAGTACGGCAAGGTGGCGCATTTTTTACCCTTCTTCGCCAATTGTTCGATATTGTAACCGGGACTAGGTGAATTGGAAAGTTTGAGTATTCTGGCAAATCGATCTAAACAATTCCCCACAGCTATATCAATCGTTTCACCAACGATACGATAACGTTTCCTTGAGAACGCTATGACCTGCGTGTTACCACCACTTACATACAGAATGGTGGGGTTTTTAGCCCCCGTTATCAGACGACCCATCTCAATGTCTTACATTAAGAAAATACATTTTTGTAAAAATGCCCTACGGGAAAAAAGGATACGACCAATGCAGTGATTAACTCCCAGCAACGGCTTATTCCAAATCTGGGCGACAGTTCTAGCAACGACGGCAACGCAAGCCAAGGGAGCACCCATTCCTGGCCCTTTGGTGTAGCACACAACATCCATATCTTTTACATCTATTTTCGATTCATCTAAAGCCTCTTTAAGAACTGCCAGGACATTTTCTCTGTGATGCTGGGCAGTCTCCTTTGGCAAAAATCCGGCACCCGGTGGAGTGATGTAGGTTCGTCGGCAGTTGGCCAAAACAGCACCGTCTTTAATTATTCCTATTCCTAGCTTGTTCGCGCTCCCTTCGAAACCGATAGCTATTACCATGGTTTTATATTTCGTAATTAAAATTTTTTGGTTTTGTAGGTTATTGTTCAGAGGTTATGCGAAGCGACAATCAATAGGCTGCGTTCAAGGATGGTAGTATTATTTGGTTTGATTATTTCATATACCGGGTGATCAAGAACGTGTTTGTTTTGGAAAATGCAAGGACGTTAATCCTTGGGAAAATGTACTTTTTCTAATCTAGTACTTTTGATTATACGTAATATTAGTACACACATACATACAGTTTACTGTTTACACCGACAAATTTAGCTTACAATCCATATCAACCATTGTCTCAATAATCGTTGACATAGATTTTAAGCTACGCTCGCTTCAATTTTTGGTGCAAATGGCCATAAATGAAATTAATGGAAATTAATTAATTAATATTAATGATTGGGATGAATTCACACACTTGTGGATTGTGCCACAGCCAGCTACAATAAAGGCTGTGGCTGTGGTACATGCAAAAGTAAAAAATTTGTAGGTTAGGTTCGGGCCCGATTTGCCAACAACGACGGAGTGGGTTAATTTTTTAAATATAAAATGCGGTGATCTGCCATGAACAAGGTCAGTGTCGGTCAAGTTCAATGAATTATGCAATTTCTTATTAAAAATCCTTTAGGTGCCGATCACATGCATATATTAAGGCATTTAAGTAAAATTGAAAAGATTGTGCACCGGACTATTGCGCAATTTCCAGCAGAAGCAAGATCATTCCTATCGAACATGGCAAGACCAACAGTGTATGTGACCCGGGACATTGGACCAGAAGCGACAGATCTGCTGAAAAATCAGTGAGTAGTCTGCACCAAGATTTATAAATAATAATTCTATTTTGTGCAGTTGTGATGTCACAATCTGGGCGCATTCCGAGCCCGTTTCGAGGGCAGATTTGATAAGTAACGTGCAGGGAAAAGACGCATTGTTTTGTTTGTTGACTGAAAAGATCGATAAGGAAGTTCTGAATCGAGCAGGATCTCAATTGAAAGTGGTAGCTACAATGTCGGTCGGTTTTGACCATTTAGATTTAAACGAATTGAAGGCTCGTAATGTTAGGATAGGATACACCCCAGATGTGTTAACACCGGCAACGGCAGAGTTAACAATTGCACTTCTCTTAGCGACCAGCAGGCGATTGTTGGAAGCTAGCGAAGAAGCACGCACTGGTGGTTGGAAGGCATGGTCGCCTTTCTGGCTGTGTGGGCCAAGTTTGAACGGTGCTACTGTGGGGGTTGTGGGTTTCGGTCGTATTGGACAAGAAGTTGCTAAACGCCTGAATGGTTTTGGAATACAAAAATTGTTGTACACAAACCAAAGTGGCAAAGACAACATTCTTGGGGGCCATCGTGTCCCTTTAGATGAGCTACTTAGTGCTAGTGACTTTGTAATTTCTACCTGTGCTTTAACACCTGAAACAAAGGAGATGTTTAATGATGAAACGTTCAAGAAAATGAAATCCAATGCTGTATTTATAAATACAAGTCGAGGTGGAGTTGTGGATCAAGATGCGTTAATACGTGCCCTAAAGAATGGTACAATTTGGGGGGCCGGTTTAGATGTGACAACACCAGAACCACTTCCTCTCGACAGTGAACTGTTTAAATTGAAAAATTGCGTCGTTTTACCTCATATTGGAAGCGCATCAATAGAAACTCGAAATGCAATGGCTGTTCTTACAGCGCGAAATATTGTTTCGGCACTTAAAGGTGAAACAATGCCTAGTGAACTTTTAATTTAATTAACGAATTGTATTTTATTATTTGTACCGTTTTTAGTATGAAATGTAAAATATAGACTTTTGCAAGCTCATTTGTCTCAAACGGTCTTAAAAATTGAAAAGGTTTATTAATTGTCTTGGAGACTTGGGATCTTTAAGAGAAGAGACCTCAAAAACTCTAAAAGTTTCTGGGATACTCTTGAAGACGTGTGTAGATACTTGCGATAGGGTTATTTGCAATTATTTCAAAAATTGAATCTACCTGTTCTTTTAGAAAGGAGTGGGTAAAGGAAGAGGATTGTTGCTTTCCTAAACTATTTCTACTTATGTCCCACTGAAGTTAAAATTGGTCTGCCCTGCAAATTCGCATTCGTCAACCATCAATAATAATGAACGTGTTTTGTTAAAACGCAGCAGAACATATGCGTCAAACATATTTGTACCACCCCGCGAAGCGCCTTTGTCATCGTTTTAATCGCCTTCGTCGAAGGTAAAATATCGTACTGTTTCTCACTTCTGCCTGGTGTGCGGTCTATAACCTTTAATAACTGGAGCCCGACAAGCAGTCTACTTAGCCGAATTTTATAAATGTGTAAATTGCATATGTAATTACCGCTTCGTATACAAATACGCAACAATGCGTTGAGGACTTGCGATTGATGAAAAGGGGACGCGGATCACGAAAGTTGCGGCGATTCCGTTTTGTCTTAGCGGATAGACGTCTAGTGAAAATGTTTCGTACTAACTTAGGTGCAACCGCTTAAGCTAAAGAGCATGCAAATTTATTTAAGTAGTCACCCAAAAGCTCGATTCTAAAGGAAGTCGTTGTAAATCATCGTGTCGAGGGGAACGCCGAAGTAAGTCGTTCAACAAAATGGCGTGTTGTGACGCGGAATTAATATTTTTGGCCGTGAAAGTAATTTAATCTGTGGTAATATTCATTTGTGTTAGTGGAGATACACGATAAAACTTGTGTACGTAATTCTTCACTGCGCATCCGTTTTCGTGTTGGGTAATATATTTTCTACAAAAACTTCAATACGCCAATTAAAATTTTTTGTGACTGTAAGAACAATATTTGACTAAAGCAATTCGAGGCGGTTTCTTAGTGAATACAGATATATAGTAGCGGTAATTAAAAGCATAACAATAACCGGATAAATAAAATTTCAAAATTTAACCGACGTCGTTACGAACTCAGACCTTTGACCCAGTGAGATTGCCGAATGAGGAATCTATTTAATCTGGGACATTTTTTTTCCATTGCCCGTAAAGAAACTGCACATACCAAATGAACACTGACCTCGCCCTAGGGGAATTTTCAACTATAATACGAAGGAATCTGGGGAGCATTTTTAAATAATCGTATTAAAAAGGTATTGTGATTTGTTGTGTTGTGTGTATTTTGTTATTGTTTGTTGTTAAATCCATTGACATATAATAAATGTACTGTTGCGCGTGCCAATGACAAGCGCGGATACCGCAGGTGAGAGAAGGGAAATGTAAGAGCGCAAGCTGTCTCTTACGGTGACGTTCTTTCAATTTAATTTGAATACAATCAACAGAAGTGCGATAGAGAGAACTTGCCCTCTTAGATTTCCCTTCTCTCTCACCTGCAGAAATTTGCGCTTATCATTGGCACGCGCGTTCGATTTATTATTATAGGTATGTGGATGGTTGAACCGAATTGCATAAATTTTTGTATGTAGGCACCTCGAATAAAACTACAGCGAATGCCGAATCAAAAAATGTATTTTGCGCATGCGGAATCCGATTTTTAGTGCATTTTTTAAGAATTAACCAAATGCGCTATTTAATTGTTTGCGCTTTGTCCGTCCGTCCGTCCGGACCCACTTCTACCGTTTTGAACTACTTCTACGGGAATGGTCCTAGAGTCCTGGAATATTTTGCAGTGGGTAGCCTATACCTTGGAGATGTGTCCGACGGTGTGCATAACTTTTACATACGACAACCAATTGGTCTCACATTTTGCATACGGATGCTTTTAGTGGTGCCAAGTTAAAGTTTATAAAATGGGGGGGGGGGGGGGTAAACACATGTTCTACCCTTCATGGTATTCTAATGGAAGGTCTCATCGAAATAAATTGGTTTGTACAAACTATAACTTTCCCGTGCTACTCTTTTTCGAGATCTGTCAGCGACGGGGCCTGGGGGGGGGGGTTACAATTAATTTTATCTCTCATTGTATTTTAATTAAAGGTCTCAACTAAAGAAACCGTTTTCTACCAACTACTGCCCTTCTTGCTGTCCTCTTATCAAAGTACGGGGCGGAGGGAGAAGGGGGGGGGGAGTGGAACTAGTTTTATCTTTCATGGTACTCTAATGAAAGGTCTCAACGAAAGTAATTAATTTATATTAACCATAGTCTTCCTGCTCGATCCCTTGTCGTGGTCGGTTATAATTCCTTATATCTGAATTGTTAAAGGAAAGTACCTACAATGAAATACAAGAATCATGATTCATGATAGACAATTGGGAAAAAACACTTAATAATATACTTTTCCTATAATCTAACTATATCCAATAATCCTGCATACTTTATAGGAAGGAAATTTAATTAACAATGATAGGTGCCTGACTATCACTATTTGTGGTGACCGTTTCGTTTATGTGCAGAGGCTTGTTTTTGTGTTTTTTGAAAATAAGAAAAATGTTTATTCTATTAGTTGTTGTTGTCGTAATCCGTTTACGTTTACTTTTTATTTCATGATGTGGGATTTGTTTATGTCTTTCAGGAAACATGTACTTAATTACAGGGATCTTCTGGAATTCCTTACGAAATCTCTCGCTCGTTAAGCCATATATAATTGGATTGATGGCCGCATTGATAAGAATTAGATATTTCGATACAAACCATAATGTGTAATAGGAACCATTGACCTAGAAATAAAAATAGAGCATCAAGTTAAAAAATGTCATACTTTGTAGATTATGTGATATTGTGCTGAGTTCTTGATAAATCTATGAAAAAGTTGCTTCATTGAATAAGTATTCAATGGTTGCGTCAAAAGTGAACTTCTTTTTAGAGTTAAAGTTAAATAATACGAGTGAAGAAGGAGCGGCCGAGGAGATAAGAAAAATGCCGTATTTCAAACATAAGCTATCATTAAAAAATGACAAATTATGCATTTCAAATTTTACAAAGCCTTCAAGAAACGCTATGTCTTCTTTTCTAATTTTTTTTACTAATTTAAGTACTTTAGAGGAGGCCTCCAAAACTCTAATTACAATTTCAACATTTTATAAATGAAGGGCTAACTTCACATGTGCCATTTCAACTCCGAACTAATTTAAAGTACTTACTTGGTTTATAACACTTTCAGATTTCATACTGCGGTTTCTTTTCAGACGTTCATTTCTGTAAATTATCAGAGCAGTAAATGGAAATCGACAGATTATAAATGCTATAACAACTACAAACATCATTTTCGCCACTTGTTTTTTGTATTGTACGGTAACTGCTTTCATTTTTCGTAAAACAATTTTTTCATATTGTCTTAACTGCAAAAGAACAACATTATTATTTATAGCACTGTGTCCAATTCCAAGTTAGACCAAAATGTGACCAATTTTTCTTCTGATTCTGAACATTTTTTATGAAAATGCAGATGAGAAGCTCTCTCTACATTTGGTCTATCTAGTAACTGGGCGCACAGTGCATTATCTAAAGCGTATTTTTTTACCTTGATAAATAATGCTACATAGCAAACCAGCATAGTACCTAGCGGTACCCAAACGATAACTATGATAAATATATGCCAATATACGTTCACGAGTATAACATCTTCTGTGCAATATTTTTCCAAGAAATCGAGCCACTGTCTTTCCTGAAACAAAAAATCTACAAATTTTACCCGTAAGTAATCATACATACTCTATACGACCTAAGTACGACTGGAGGTATGGTGAACAGCAGGCCAATGATCCAGACAACGACCATTATAATTTTCGCCTTGTTTATAGTTAGCCGTTTTTCTTGCGGTTGAGCAATGGAATTTAGTCTATCGTAGCTTATGGCTACCAAATTTGTGACGCTTGCTGCAAGAACGCCACCTAAAAACGAACATTCTTGAGAGCAACTGCTTAAATTTTGTTGTGTCTTTTAGACTTATAAATATTTTTGTTCCAACATTATTTACAAAATTTCCAAAACATAGAGGGGGTACTGTAACGGGAGACGTCAGGTGCGCGTTTGGCGTACACAATATTTGTTTCATCTTTTTTTTTCTTTTGCGTCAGTTGCAGTTTTATATTTTTTATCCTCGTTCCAACGGAGAAAGAATGTTTCACTGCAGAAGTGTACTGCATGTCTTCACTTCTTACACCATGTGTGAGTGCCGAATTATAATTAATAATTTCAGTTTAATCATTATGACTTTTTATACTTATAGATTTTTTTGATGATATTTGGGTTTATTTGGGAGCGATATCGGTCCACCCAATTAGTTGGACCGTGCTGTTTAACCCCCTTCAACCTATGAACCAAGGTTAAGTGCGACTAGGGTGTATTTATTTACATGTGTCTTTTTTTGTTGTAAATTTTGACGAGTGATCCTCTTTATATCGGCGTGTGATTGGCTTTTTTACATTTCATGCATTTTCAGGGGTAAAGAAAAAGGTTTTGGTTATTCGTTTTAAAACGATTTACGATACCGAAGGCACCTCATTCCGTAAGCGATAAGGAATGAAATGAAATGATCCATTTCTTATCTCTTACTACTTACGCCTTGCGTCTTACGGAAAAATGTTTTAAATGTTTATTTTTCTTATTTTGTTACCGCTTACCGTTACGGAACTCTGAATCGGCCTTTATGGTTTTAAATTGGTAATAAAACTGACCCGTTCCAAAAGCACTAAAATTAATTAGGTGATATATGTAATTGGTGCTCTCGCCTGTAAATAGTTTCTCCATTAGAATAGTGTGTAAATAAATTACAAGGACACTTACTGTGCGCGCGGTTACGCATTTACTACCAAAACCGCCACCAACAATAGCTTTTTTTTCTTGTTTGTAATGTAATCAATGAAGTCCCTAGAGCTATTTTCGTGTGATCAAGGAAGGGCAACTCTAATTTGAATTTGAATTTGATTGTTTATATCATTAACGTTTTTAATTAGATTTCCTACCCATTTCTTGCGTTTTTTTGCTAACCCTTAGAGTGACACTCACACATACTCAAGCAACTCGTTTTGACGATCGTGCGTCACGAGTTTCGGTTAGTTTTAGCAGAAGTTTTGATTTTTGGTTTTCAATTGCGCAGTCGTTTCGCAACTGGACCTAAGTTATTACAAAATTTTTGGTGCCGTGACCAGGATTTGACTTGGTCCTTTACAAGTGAAATAAGTATGTGATTTCAACGAACCAACGTTACCGCCCATTTTTTCGTGATTCGGCATGTGGCATGAAATTTAAAAATTGATGACGACGTCGACCTTCTGCCAAGCCTCAAACCCAAAAATCCCTGTTCTCGGTATCTGCGCAATCTGCGCAGAATGATCAAAGTCGAAGACTTATCATGATTGTTATTATACAGAGCATTTCGAATTTTTCCCATACTGCTATTCTTTCGGCTGTAAAGTGTGTTGCCTAACCAGAGATTGTAAGATACATGTTTTTTTTCCCAAAAATCTAGTTAATTATAATCATCGAAAATCGTTTATTTTAGCATAGTACTCCTTTGTATTAACGAGCTCTTAGCGAGTTTTTAATTTTGAGGTTGAGATGTTCCACCCTGTATATACAATTTACAACGATGCACACATTTTTGAGAGTTGGAAACCACGCAATTTTTAGGAGCGGAAAGCTGTTTGCACCATCTGGAGAACACGAACGTGGGTTACGTTCGGCATCTTGTCTTTAATGGCGGTCGCGAACGCGTCGCTCCATACATGTTTGTTGTTATTTTGTGTAATTTAATGCAAGTCGTAATCTTTGCATTTCTTTATATCGTATTTTGTATGTAGCATTTTATATTTTCATAGTTTCAATCTTTGTTTTTGAAATTGACTTGAATTAACCTTAATGCAGAATCACATATTTGATACCGTTATCCTTTTGTTTGTAAACGTTTACGTTTTTGGTGTAATGCTTGCTTAATTTATGTTTATGTTTTGATTACATGGTTTTGACCAGAAGTTACATTCATATAAATTTTGATCATTTTGTTTTAATATGTGGAAATTACCGAGTTGTTTGTGTGTGTACTGATTTTTTGTTTGTAACTAACATATTCTCCGTGAATGAAGCGTCACGGAGGTGGCAAAAACTTTAATCAAGTTGAGTTACGACAAATAATAAGAATTTTTTTTTTGCTCATGTACAGCAGCAGAGTAGTTGAATTAACACCAAATAAAATTAACAGTAATGAACAATCTGATTGACAAACTAACTAATATATATATATTTTTTTTGCTATACTAGAGAAAAAACTTAGGCCCTCTAAGGCAAGTCTGTGTAGAGGACACCCTCACGCACTTAAACTAAAAATGAAAACAATGAGTCTGCGGTCCGAATAAAACCAGACCATTGAACAAAACATAATTTTTTGTGTATCACAATATATACCAAAGTACTAGAATTAAGAATTATTTATAAGTAAGTTACATTTCTAAATATACCGTATTGTAGAAGTGGATAATTTGGCTTATACACGTAGGTTTACTAGCTACCTACCCCCGTACTTCAATTAAAAATTCAACATCTGGGAAAGATAGCAGCCATCGCATTATCCGTGAAAGAAAAACCGGTAATTGCGTGATTGTGTTCGACTTTCAACTGTAGGCTCGAAACCCCGAACGAGGGGCGAGTTATCTATCTTGCGGGAGCGGAATTATGATAATCAAAACTGAGGTTTAGAATCTATGAGCGATAAATGAGTTGCGATTCGCTAATTGCCACATATTTTTGGCGATAGTTGAATTTGCTTACAAGGTCATGTAATTTTCCGTCTTGCTTTTAACAAAAGACTTTATTGCACCAAAGATGAGTCACATTCTATACCTTTCACCCTTTCTTAGAATTTATATACCTGCCTACCTGTCCCATTGTTTCCAAAATTAGTTTTCAACATGGGGGTTAAGTACACTACAAGGTGTCTGTCCGTCCGTCCGTTAGCACGATATCTCGATAACGAATGGGCTGATTACGGGAGTCTATCAAATTTGTAGATCGGAGTTCGAGAATTGTCAAAAAATAAGGAAGCCTCTTTTGACATCTCTGTTAGATATGAACCGAATTGCATGAAATTCAATACGGGTATAGCCATAGATATAATACGCAATTTCAAAAGTTGAGTCTAATAGATTCAACATTCACAGTGCCCTTTTAGCATCTCGACAATTTATGAACCGAATTGCGAACTTTTTAGCGCATTTTTGCAAAATTTTTTTTTTTGTAAAAAGTAGCTTTTAATCTCACTTTGGCTGGCTGGCTGGCTGGCTGGCTGGCTGGCAGCAAATGTGGGCGCGTAGAAGAACTCTTGTAGAAAGGCAACGGGTGTACGTGTATCTACAGGGCCGTGAAATTTGTCAACCTTAGGGACATGGCTACATGATTTGGGGTTGGCGACATCTGGGCGTCATCCTCGAGCGTAGTATACTAACGTGAAGGTTTTTCAGTTTTTTCCTATCTTCTACTACAGTTTTGGTCCGATTCTTTTGAAATTGGTGTCGTCGGGAAGATGTTGTAAACGCGCACAACTCCTGCGTGGCGGAATTTTGTTTTTTGTCATAGGGGCGAAATTAACGACCTTTTGCGAGGCGGCGCGCGCGTCTTCGAGAAGTAGTCAGGCGCCTTTTACCTTCCGTTGCGAACTCACGCGGTTTAACGTTTCGTAAATCTCGAATCGCTGTCTCTCTTTCTCGTGTCGCCAATAGAAGTGAATTGCGGGTGAACGGGACGTCGGAAGTGGGTACCGTAAAAGGGAATGTGGTAGCCCGCGACACGATCTCACTGATGGTGGAGTCAAATCTTCAATCGCAAATTGCGGGTGAACGGGACGTCGGAAGGGGGTACCGTCAAAGGAAATGTGGTAGCCCCCGACACGATCTTCCTGATGGTGGAGTCAAATCTTCAAACGCGAATTGCGGGGGAACGGGACGTCGGAAGTGGGTACCGTAAAAGGGAATGTGGTAGCCCGCGACACGATCTCACTGATGGTGGAGTCAAATCTTCAATCGCGAATTGCGTGTGAACGGGACGTCGGAAGGGGGTACCGTCAAAGGAAATGTGGTAGCCCCCGACACGATCTTCCTGATGGTGGAGTCAAATCTTCAAACGCGAATTGCGGGTGAACGGGACGTCGGAAGTGGGTACCGTAAAAGGGAATGTGGTAGCCCGCGACACGATCTCACTGATGGTGGAGTCAAATCTTCAAACGCGAATTGCTGGTGAACGGGACGTCGGAAGGAGGTACCGTCAAAGGGAATGTGGTAGCCCCCGACACGATCTTCCTGATGGTGGAGTCAAATCTTCAAACGCGAATGGCGGGTGAACGGGACGTCGGAAGTGGGTACCGTAAAAGGGAATGTGGTAGCCCGCGACACGATCTCACTGATGGTGGAGTCAAATCTTCAAACGCGAATTGCTGTTGAACGGGACGTCGGAAGGAGGTACCGTCAAAGGGAATGTGGTAGCCCCCGACACGATCTTCCTGATGGTGGAGTCAAATCTTCAAACGCGAATTGCGGGTGAACGGGACGTCGGAAGGGGGTACCGTAAAAGGAAATGTGGTAGCCCCCGACACGATCTTCCTGATGGTGGAGTCAAATCTTCAAACGCGAATTGCGGGCGAACGGGACGTCGGAAGGGGGTACCGTCAAAGGAAATGTGGTAGCCCCCGACACGATCTTCCTGATGGTGGAGTCAAATCTTCAAACGCGAATTGCGAGTGAACCGAACGTCGGAAGTGGGTACCGTCAAAGGGAATGTGGTAGCCCCCGACACGATCTTCCTGATGGTGGAGTCAAATCTTTAAAAGCGAATTGCGGGTGCACGAGGAAAGGGGGAAGCGGTTAGTGAATGTAGTAGCCTTCGACAAGATCTGTTATTGATGGTTGAATCGAAAGTGGCTAATAGAATACTGATCTGCCACACAAAAATGCGCTGAAGTCCCTTCGATCTCAAACGAGGACTTTGATAATTTTTTTATTTATGAAGGTATTTAGATAAAATTTGATACATAGGTAGGCACTTGGAATAACAGCAAATCTAACGCCAGTTGAGTTCAAAATTTTGTTGTGCGCATGCGCAGTGCAAACTTTCTTATTTATGAAAGCATTTAAATGAAATTCGATACTTAGGCACTTGAAATAAAAGCAAATGTAACACCAGTTTAAAAATTTGGTTTTGCGCATTCTATAGCCATACCCAGAAGCTCGTTTGCTACATTGTTTACAAGTTTATTTAACTGAAGACTAAATTTTCACTTCGTGAAACAGCGTATTACTCACATAACGATCAATTACTTACATTCAAATGCTCCCTCGAACCGACATCCAAACTCTCCAAACGGATAGTTTTGGAAAAAATCATGTCCCAAAAAAAACGACGGATGCACAGCTAGCAAAATGAAATCGGCCAGTGCCATATTTGCTATTAGAACATTTGTGGGCGATTGTAGGTAGGCGTTTTTAATGATGATATACATTAAAGAGACATTTCCAAAAATGCCCCAAGACACTACCGGTATCATGATTGACACTTTTATTATGATTTCTTCTGTTGGAGCTACCAGCCAAATATCGTTGATGAAAGCTACAGTTGACAAATCATCCTGAAATGCTCGATCTGAAAACATTTCTAATGGAAATTTTCACTCACAGATCGCCATGAGTTGCAGTTACTGTTGTTGCACTCTGGAATTTCGAACTCATAGCTAGTGGAATTGTAGTTCATTTTCTCTAGTGCCAAATTTGCTATATTGAAACACCGGTTAATTTTGTGTGAACTCACATCAGCTTCATTACTTGTTTGTGCAAATATGTACTTTTACATTTACCATATGGCATCTGATTTGTTATCTCGTTCAATTTTGGTGAGTAGGTACCTGACTGCTTGATTGTGTGGAGGTAAGTACGTTGGAAGATACGCATAATGGATTAATTGCATATTTTAGTGGCACTCTTATAATACTCATCTATACTTACCGCCTTTACTTATAGCCGATCTGATGCTGATATTATGAGTGTCGCTTCATACCTACTGGTAGTGTTTCAGTTCCGCACTTCAATGCAATAATTAACTTATTAGAGCAGCGGAGAGACCCGCGACATCGTTCAAAAATTTTTTTGGAGTAGAAAGAATTGGGACCCACACCATTTTGTTCAGAAATGTTTGAACCTTCAGAATCTCGCTTTACATTTTCCCGTGGTCCTGACAAAAGTTATAGGCCGCTAAAGTTGAAATTTACTCATTTTCGCGCGCGCGACTAGACCACCGAAAGTATTTATTTTCTCAGCAACTAAGCGATATACATCAATAATTCCTTTTGTAAGTGACAGTACATTTTTAGCAGAATCTGAAGCACTCATATTTACGTACCTTGTTATGCACAGTTTTTAGAAAAATGACCGTCAACTTCCAAAATTCGTGTGCGCACTTTGAACCAGAGTTGGACTGGGTCACCTGGGTCACTAAATTAAACTGGGTCGCTGGGTCACGTCATACTCTTTTCAGTTAGACCCAGTGACCCAGTTTGACCCAGTGACCCAGTTTGACCCAGTGACCCAGTTTGACCCAGTGACCCAACTTGACCCAGTGACCCAACTTGACCCAGTGACCCAGTTTGACCCAGTGACCCAGTTTGACCCAGCGACCCAATTTCACCCGGGGACCCAATTCGACCAAGTAACCTAGTTTGATCGAATAACGCAGTTAAGTCAGTGCCCTCGGTTCAAGTGTACAGATTATGAAATAAATGAAATGCTGGTTTGTTGAAAATAAATAATACTCGATTGCTTGACAACTGCCATTTCTGTGATGTTTGCTTTAATACTGCCGTAAAAAAGTTTCCATGTCCCGAATTGTATTAGAATAATGTTATTTCTAAACAGTTCCCTCCTTCATTTCTTTGCTTCAGGGCTTACCAGTTTGCTTACAGGTATTCATTCACATTTAATTTTTTTCTACTAGTTAGCTTAATCCAAATAAATCTTTTCTCTAAATACTTTCATTGATTACATGACTACAAACTATAAACAAATGCATTTGATTTTTTTAGGTATTAGTTCTCTTGAATGAAATTGGGCTACGTGCTTGTTGGCGAATATTATTGAGGAAGTTTTTTTTAAATTAAAAGTTACTTGAAATTGTTTTGGATGATACCTAACAATAATTTAATTACTGGGCCACCGGGTCTAGACGGGTCACTGAGTAAAGCTGGGTCAAGATGGGTCACTGGGTCAAGCTGGGTCACCCGGTCAAACTGGGTCACCGGGTCAAGCTGGGTCACTGGGTCAAACAGGGTCACCCGGTCAAACTGGGTCACCGGGTCAAGCTGGGTCACCGGGTCAAACTGGGTCACTGGGTCAAACAGGGTCAGTGGGTCAAGCTGGGTCACCGGGTCAAGCTGGGTCACCGGGTCAACTGGGTCACCGGGTCACTGGGTCAGTAAACTAACTGGGTCACTGGGTCACTCTATGCTTGACCCAGTCCAACGCTGCTTTGAACTATCATAACTTTTTATTTCGCGATATGGATTTCCAATATTTATAGCTCATTCGATGCTCCAAAGCATTGTGATTATTTTATTTTCTATAACATTCGGACTTTACTTTACGAACAATTTATCTTCGTAAGTATCCACACGAGAAATAAATAAGTCACTGAAACTATCTCTATTATTTTTTTTATTTAAATAAAATAAATAAAAAACAAGTATAAATTGTGCCCAACTTTTGTGCAGATAAAGCGCATTTTTGATACGTCTCAATCGCCCTTTGTGAGTACCCTCTTCCGACAATCCGTTCTTGAGGTATAAGGGAATACACCCGATCACGATAAGAGGTCGAGGAGGAGGGCTATGGTTAATAGAAATTATTTCGTTTCGTTGAGACCTTTCATTAGAGTACCATGAAGGATAAAACTAGTTCCCCCCCCCTCTCCCTTTCTCCCACCTACACGTACTTTGATAAGAGGACAGAAAAAAAGGAAGTAGTTGGTAGAAAACGGTTCCTTTCGTTGAGACCGTTAATTAGAATACAATGAGATATAACATTAACTTTTAACCCCCCCCCCTTCCCCCCACTCCGCAGGCCTCGTCGTACACTGATCTCGAAAAAGAGTCGCACGGGAAAGTTATAGTTTGTACAAACCAATTTATTTCGATGAGACCTTTCATTAGAATACCATGAAGGATAGAACATGTTTAATCCTTAAAAAATGCGCTAAAAATATGCTATTGTTTGCGTTGTGTCCGTCCGACCATAACATTTTGAGAAATAGAGAGGCGGAGTATGTTATGTACTAAGTGAAAAGAGTTATATTTTTAGTACCTATGTAAATTTAGAGCCCCACAAATGAGGCGTCTCTTTGAAATCTGGATATGGTTAATTTTGGTACTGCGGCGCATTATTTGTATTTTTTAGCGCATTTTTTAAGAATACGCTGTCTAAAAGGCCTCCCCCCCTCCACGAATTATTTCCTGAGATACTGTTTTTGAAAGTAAAACGTGCATAACTTTTACATACGACAACCAATTGCTCACAGATTTTGCACACGCATGCTTTTAGTGGTGCGAAGTTAAACTTTAGAAAATGGGGTGAGGGCAGGGCGTGGGGGGGGGGGGGATTAACACATGTTCTACTCTTCATGGTATTCTAATGAAAGGTCTCATCGAAATAAATTGGTTTGTACAAAGTATAAACTTTCCCGTGCGACTCTTTCGAGATCAGTGAGCGACGGGGCCTGAGGGGGGGGGGAGGTTAAAAATTAATTTTATCTCTCATCGTATTCTAATTGAAGGTCACAACGATAGGAACCGATTTCTATCAACTACTGCCCTTCTTTCTGTCCTCTTATCAAAGTACGGGGTGGAGGGGAAGGGGGGAGGAGTGGAATTAGTTATATCCTTCATGGTACTCTAATGAAAGGTTTCAACAAAAGGAATTAATTGCTACCAACCATAGCCCTTCTCCTCGACCTCTTATCGTGATCGGGTATATTCCCTTATACCTCAAAAACGGATTGTTGGAAGAGGGTACTCACAAAAGGCGATTGAGACATCTGCTAGAAATATATCCATTGGTCAAAACAAAAGTTATTTCGTTTAAAAAAAATGCGCTTTATCTGCACAAGAGTTATGCACAATTTATACTTGTTTTCCCCTAGCTTCGTTATGAAAATCCGCTAGTCTTCGGCATCTGCGCAAAACGGTCGAGAGACCAATTGGTTGTCGTATGTAAAAGGTAAGCACGTTTTACTTTCAAAAACAGCATCTCAGGAAATAATTCGAGGGTCTGGCACACCTTCAAGGTATAGGCTACCTACTGCAAAAAAATTCCAGGACTCTAGGACCATCCTAGAAGTAGTTCATAACGGTAGAAGTGGGTCCGGACGGATGGACGGACAAAACGCAAACAATAGCACATTTTTTTTAATTCTTAAAAAGTGCGCTAAAAAGAGCGTGGCGGGATGAAGAAGATGGCGACGGCGGACGGGGTCGATGGAGAGCATCACGCTTTCCCGGCTTTTTGTTTTTGAATGATAAATAAAAGACAAGTCTATACCAGGGAAACCTTCTACGGGACAAAAACCATAGGCCACACAAATACATGAAATAAATCACCTACAACAATAAAATGCATGAGAAAATATACATAAATAAAACATCTCAAATTGTATGATAACAATCAGGTAATGGAATCAAATGCAATTAAAGAAATTCATAAAATAAATCCCACGAGACATCACAAATGCAGTGGAAAACATGATAAATCAATGTAGTACAAAAACACATTGAAGTACATGTACCTACGATCAATTTAAGTAAAACAACTCGTAAAATAATAAATTGCATGTACGTAGGAAACATCAAAATGGCGTGGGCTTTTAGGGCTCTGCTCGTAGTTTTGTTCCCAGAGTTGCCAACGGTAAGTACAGGGTGTGTCAACGTTTCCAGTGTCTGCTTGAGAGACCGTTAGAACCATTACACTACTATAGAGCCGGCCTTTATAAGGCCACACACAAACGTAAACAATAAAAATTCATTCCGATGCGAGCTCTCGTGGTGAGCAGAAGGTTCAACCGCGCTTCCATAGTACGGCCAAAAAACGACGACGGCAAGGGTTTATAGTGCGACAAATCTACGATCTTCGATAGTGCGGGAACCGACGAACGCCACGTTATTATAGTCCTGCACAATGGACGACTCTACGAACGCACATTCAAGCCGCTGTCCAGAAGAAGCTAGTACTAGGTGAATTCCATATCCGTTAACAAGTATCACCAATTCTTAAATCATTTTCGCCATCGCCTCAGAAGAACCTACATCCAAATTTCCAAGTTGTAAATAGTTACCTATGCCCTGCAAATGTCTTATAATTATACGACATTGAACACTATACTGTAATCTAAACCAATCACGTCATATCCCACGACTCACCGGCGCCTTAAATTTTCAAACGAATTTATCAGTCAAAACCGTATTTAAGGGCCACTCGCCGAAGAAACACAGCCGAACAATTTAAGAAACCCGCCATCTTTTTCATGGCCCAATTTCAAAAATCGCGCAACTTCAAATACATTCTACTTCATACGCTAAATTTGAATTACCAAACTAATAAAAAAAATACTCCCCAACGCCCATGTGCCCTTGTTACTATACTGTTACGATATATCAGACCGTGTGCTGTGGAAAGAACCCACCTCGGATCCTGCAAACTCAAATCTGTGCATAGGGACAGTTTCATAGATACCTAGACAAGAAGTGCATGACCTAT